CGCCTAAAACTATGCTTATTGGCAAAGAACTTGAATAGGCCTATGCCAATTACTTACGATATTTCTGACATAATATCGATGATCTTAGTGAAAATACGGGAAAATTGACTTAATAGAAATAACAATTGCTTGAGAAAATTATTACGACAACCTGGTTATTTTAATGCACGTGCATATTTTATAAATAACTCTTCTCTCTTTTCAAGGATTTATGGGGAAATTCATGTTATTTTTCACACAGGTCTATTGTGCTACTTTAATGAGAAGAATATTTTTTTTAGAAAATGGAAGAGAGCTTATTAATATCTTTATAAATGTGAGTGAACAAAAATTTACTTCTTTTTTTCAATAAAGAAGTTATTAAAGAAATTATATTAGAAACATTTTTTTAGCTTAAATGAAATTCGATATAAGAAGTTATTTTAGGCCTACAGGCGATTTTTTAATAGCATTGTGGATTTTACAAATATATTAATTGCTTATATACTGAGAAATGCAGTTCGTAATAATATTTCATCAATATCTTTATCTTGTTTCACTGGTGAACAAGGACGGATCCAGGATTATTCGTAAGGTGGGTTGTGGTGGGGAGCAGCTAACAATTGGATGGTTTGAATCAACACCTACCAGCTCAAGGTAAAAAAAACATATTTCGACATTAATTATGTCATCATCAGGAATGATGATGACATAATTAATGTCGAAATATTGAATCCCAACACGATGGCGTGTATTTCAATACTTGGAGTATGTATTATACTTTCTTATTTAAATTATTTGTCTAAAAAATATTTTACTCAATAATATTTCGACAGAAAAGTCGCATTTAATTTAGTTTGTTCCAACTGTCTCAGTTAAGGTTAGGGTGACCAGGCGCCAGTGGGGCCTTGTCGGATAGGGCAGGGCCCCAGTGAGGAGAGTTCCTCCTCCAGTACACCCGCCCCCCGGGGAGAAAAAAACAATTCGTCCAGGAGGAGAAAACAGTAATTATATGTATTTATTACATTAGTAGAATCTAAAATCGAATAAATAAGCCTTTGAAACCCCTAAATCGTCATAGTTTCCGGCGGCCACACGTACTCCTGGGAGATCTTGAGCGATGCCCAACCACACGCCGTTTAATAGGATCATCATCATCGTTATCATCATAAAAAGGCCAAAAAAAAAAATTGTTTGTTTGCCCTCCTCCACCGCCAAAGACTCACTGGAAAAGCAAAAAACTTAAAAAAGTTTTTTCTTATTTAGCTTTTTCTTTACAAATTAAAAAAAAAATGTGAGTGAATTTATCTCTATTTTTTGCCAGATGCCTTACAAATTAGTCTAAAGTTGTTATATGATGTAAGATATTGCTATTCTAGGCCTCTGTGGGTTATTTTTTTCCATCTGATGAGTATCGTATTAGTAAAAAAAAAAATTCCACCGCCCCTTTTTATCATTTAAAAAAAAAGGAGGGCAAACAAACAATTTATTTTTTAGGTCTCATGATCACCACCACCACTACCACTATCACCAACATCATCGTAGTCATCTTCATTATGATCATCATTTTTAATTTTAAACACAATATAAATGCGTATCGATTAAGCAAATGGTAATGTAATTAAATTCTTTTAATTAGTGGTCTAATATTTATTTAAATGAGGTTAAATGTGTAATACAATATGTAATGTTTTCCTAATGTACCTAAAATATACACATCCAAACAATACTTGTCTAATGGGGGCGCTACACTAAATAATAATCAATGAAGGCTGCAACTTTGAAAAAGTGCTGAAGTATACTACAAAAAATCACCTATTACACAGTATTCTTCATTGTTATATTTACGTTAACTGGCTAATAAAGTACTGCAAGAGACTTTGACTTCATAAAGACATTGAAATTTATTCATGTACGATATTTCCGGTAGCACCTGCTACCTTCATCAGTGTACGAGTATACATCACAGCTAAAAGTATATATTGACACAATTCAGTGGTAATTAACAATATTGATATGCAATGGGCGTTAATGTGTTTATTTTCGAAATGGGCTTCTTTTCGAGATTACTTTTGCAAACTAAAGGAAAGGGCTTTTTTCCCCAAATTAATACAGTAAATTTTAGAAATGCTACTATACATTATTCAACTGTGGAATTCGAAATTTTGTTTAATATTAACAAAAACCATGGTAGCACAATGAAATAGAAGTATGCTAACACGCTGTCACAATAATCAAAGATAACGTCGAAAGAAGCCCGTATTATCTTGATTAGAAACCCGGCTTATTTTTTAGATGCGCTTTTTCTTGAGATTAAGCCCATGGGGCTTCTATTCGGGGTTTTACGGTATAGGACATATTATATATTATGACAACTGCAATCATAAAGCGTTACTATAGCCTATAAGCGGGCCTAAAAGCAAAGTGTTGACATAATATTAATTAGGCCAAACTAAACAAGCAGTGATAGGCCTACAAATCTTTCATCTGAAATCCTTAAATGCCTGAAATAAAGAGGTACCGTAACGGCCAGAATAACGACAACTTTAATTCGACAAATTGAATATTTACGTCTCAATCTACTAACAGACAGAAGATATAGTAAACAAAGAACACATTACGGTACGGTATTTAGGCTTATTTTAAATTATCATTTGTAGTAGGCTTACAATATAGGAAATAGGAAAAAGCCGTTGTTTTTGTTATAGGCCTGTCTTTTTAAAGCATTGTCATAACCGTTTGTGGATTTGAATTTTATGGTTTACAGCCCCGAATGTGTGATGCATTATTAATAATAAATATTTGAGAAAAACGTATTTCCCCATCGTCATTCGAACCCAAGACTTTCCGATTACTGTCCAGATACTCTACCAACTGAGCTATGAGGCCAAGTGGAATACACCATTTTTCCATTAGGACACATTTTTTCTCAAGGTATTGAGTAAGACGCAATGAATAATAGTTAATTATAATAATAGTAGGGGTCTGGCCTAATTGTTTTAGGCAGCTCTAATACTATAGGTTACTGGTATAGAATTAGGCCTACCACAAGTACCCTATTATTTTTTTCTTATTCTCGACAGCGCCACCAACATGTAAGTTAATTTAAAGAGAGATAACAAAAATAATTTTGATATGACGCGCACTAAGCGCAATAAAAAGTGAGTTTAAACCCAAATTTAGGGCATGGAACCCAGGGTAGCCTACTACTTTGCAATTCTAAAAACCAATACATTTCTTGTTGATATTCATTGTAGTAGGCTTACAATATTGAAAATAAGTAGAGTTACCGCAATTTTCTTATCATAATTCAAATGTTATTAAAATACAATATCCACTTATTAAATAGTACAATAATGATATCGAACATATTTCACGTCTAAATATGTGTGGTACAAGTTATTAATAGTACAAATACAGAACCCACTGTATGCCTAAATGGGTGTGATTCATTTTATTAACTATGAAATCATTTAATAATGGTCACAGCAACGCAGTTATAATGTAAATTTCGATTAGTAAAAGTAAAGGTAGTCCCGTATGTATTAGTGAAAACTGAATGAGCCGTTAGAAGCCATTGTACTAAGCCTAGTAGGGTGGCCAATACTTCCACGTCGCCTTTTAACCTATATTTTTCTACAGGTACTTTACTATATCAAAGATTATAGAATAGCTGTGCCATACACTTTGTTGACTATATTTGAGTGAACTGAGAACTGACGTACCTGGGTCATGATCAAGATGATATAAATGTGTCCAACCACCAATGCACAGCACAACTGCTAACATTAGTTACCAATTATGTTCTAAATCTGACGAGTAACTAAGCACGCGGAATTTAACGTATCTTCATCGAGCATACAAAAATTTACAAAAATTCACTTAAGCACCTACACTTTCGGTACCGTTGCTACTATCTTGCTGTATCTGATTGCCAAATCTCTTTCTGAATGATTGTCGCACCTAAAATACAAATGAAATGCATCAATTGTTTCTTTATTTATCTATTAGTTTGTTCAAATTGTTCAATAAAGACAAGTCATTCAATAAAACGGAAACAAGGATCAAAGCTTGCAAAAGAAAAAAAAAACAAACAAAACAAGAGCCTGGATACTTATTAATGTGCCTACAAAATTGTTCCAGAATTTCAATCACTTACTAACTGACCAATCAGAAACAGGGTCGGGAATACGCGCATGTTTAACAAGCATACGTTTTGTCCAACGTGTTTGCGTGGAGACCTTAGCAACAATATCCAAGAGACGGGGCTCAGTGAAGACGAGGAAATAGCATGCAAAAACATAACCAGAAAAATATCACACATTCTTGCGTATGACATGCAGCACCAAACTTAAAACAAAGCTTCAGGATCTCACAGAAAAAGTTATACTAGGCCTATTATGTATTATTATGAACACCTGTAACTAGTCTAGGAGCTGATGTCAAATTGATCAACATATTTTTAAATTGAAAGAATGTAATCAACTAAGAGGGATGTTAAACGGCAACCTTTTCCAGATTAACAATCCATTAAACGAAAATTTTTGCTGCAAGCCTCAGTCCTAAATTTGGTCTTTATTCTGTTATAACAAAGATAGTACTCAGTTAATGATTTTACAAATAGCGTACAGTACCAGTCAAGGGAGTTTTCGTTAGTTAAACTTGTACTGTAGGTCAATATTGTAAAACTGTAAAAATATTTTGTGTAAAATAAATCGACAATTAAAGTTAAATATTCTACAATTCTTTTTGTCAGTTAGGAGTTAAGCTGTCAACAGTGAACTAATAGAATGTCATCCAACCTCATTGCTGAAGACGAACTGCGACAGCAGAATCAAGAACCCTTGCATGGAATTCACGATAACATAAATATATTCCATTGCTTGCCAGTCGCAAAAAACGATGATACCACCAAAAATCCATGAAAGTCCAACTGCTGGTACAAGGAACAATATACCACGAAACATATTTCTGTTTAAACAGAATACAACACATCGTTAACATTTTAAAAAATTGTGGCACGTGCTCAAATAATTATGTCGACAACACATTTCATTATATAGGCCTACTCTTCTAAACTTGCAAAACGCAGTAGTTAAGAAAGTGAGATTAAGCACTTGCACGCGTGTTAGTCTAATCGTGGATTAGGAAATTCAACTAAGTTCCATTTTCTTCTATGAAAAATCAACTTGGTTATTCTTCCTGGGTAGTGTGGCTCTCTCGGTTAAACCACGATATCTCACCGTTTGGGCAATTTCAGTACAGTACATTTCGTGGATGAACATTGTTTACTTTGACCAGGGAGTTGTTATAGTGACTATAACAACTCCCTGCTCTGACTCTCCTGTTCTCCCATATCTAGGCCCATATAAATTTTGAAATTCATAATTTACTGGTTTTTTCCCTAACGTTCTTCCTGTTTAGAATGTAATGCCTACAAACCTATTCTTATCTGTTTCATACTGTATTTGACATAGGTTTTAATATTATTACAGCTAACCTGATCCGTTTGAGCGTTTGCATTTCTTCTTCAGTTTGGTTTGGTAGTTGAGACTTCTTGAAAGCTACATATCCAATTACAATCAACTGCACGAGAACAATCTTTGACAGAAAATTTTACATCTTGCTATTAGTATGCAAAAGCACAAGGGCAATCACCTACTATGGCAGATCTTTTTCATACTATGTGTGTATGTAAGCAAGACGAATCATTTTTATCATAATAACTAAAAGATTATCTATGACAGAAATGTTTCATAATTATTCTCGGTATTGAGCGAGTGTGCTTTTTGTGGACAATATATATTGGAAAATGCTGAAAGGACAACCGAGAACCGTCTAAAGCCTGGTTTCCATAAAATAGCTGCAATGTCGCTACAGTGTTTTCAGTGCAATTGTTGTATTGCGTATAATTCCCCGGCCGACGCAATCTGGAAGGCTCCCCGATTCCACCGACCAATCTGAAAGCTGTCAGCAATAGCGTGGAGCGATTGTATGGAAGCCAAGTATAAAAGTACTGATAATTACTAACTTTTGGCTTGTGCACTTTGCATTTTGTTATGTATTGTAATACATTTTGATTCAATTAGGTGTAAAAGAGAAACTTTACCAGATTGGAGATGCACATGGGAAAAATGAAAGTCCAGATGGAACCAGATTTAGCATTCAACCAACACCTAGAATTAATAAGATTTTAAAAAGTAGGAATATTTACGTGTTTATTTCCAATTTCCCTCAATAGCTTATGATTCTTAATATAGAAATAATGTCATGTTGTATACTTGTACAAAGGTCTTAAGTGCACAAATATATATGAGCCCCGAATACCAAATGTTTTAAAACGTTTCTCCTCTTTGCTTCCAGCAAGGAGAGCTTCGTTAAAATTTTACCGAGGTACCGAAAGACTTCAATCTCTAAGCACACACATAGCTACTAAAACCAGTTTATCTGACTAAGGCCTAGTTCAGACTAGGTGGATAAACCCGGCTCAACTCACCGGGTTTTTATCCACCTGCCAGTCTGTGGCTTATCTCAAGCCGGGCTATGTTCCTATAGTAACTAGGCCTGGCGCGCCACCGTGTTTAACTTTTCTAAGCCGGGCTTCAATCGTTGCGGGGGATCTTGCATTAACTTCAGGTGACGAAATGGCCAATCAGCATTCAATTACGTACGCTGTGAGCGAGCGTACGTCTCGCGAGCACTGTTTTGAAACACGTTTCTTAGTTACGGTTCATTATTTTGCAAATTCTCGCCTGTCTAATCGCCCGCTAGTCTGAACGCCCGGCAAAGTTGAGCCGGGCTTAACTAAAGCCTGGCTTATCTCCAAGTCTGAACGTAGCCTAAATTTATATAGTTTATATAAAGTAAATATATATAGATAAATGAATAGAATAATAGATAATTTTTTTCTCCATCGGGATTCCAACTGAAGACGTTCTGATTACCGTCTGGATACTATAAAATTGAGCTATTATTTGTATATATTTGTTCATATTCCTATCTGTTTGCAGGGCTTCATATCTGTAAAGAGATGCACTTTATAAATGCCCAAATTGGATCGGATAAATAGTAGGGAGATTTCGCAAGCTTACGAAACGACAACGAATACGATTACCTCAACACATTTTTAGACAACCCTTCCATACAGTAGTATATCTGTCACAAAGTAGGCGATTAATGCCATTTGCATTATTCAAGGATCATATTCAGCTCGTACAACATATTGTCAAGAATGTTTTAGGCACGAATGACGATAATGATAATGACGTATTCGTTATCGTTTTCGTAAGGTTGCGAAATCTCCCTGTTAACAGTGCTCTGATTGGAACATAAGAAAACCATGACTAGTACGGTGCTCAAATTAAAAACTCGAATTACTTATCAGATGCATAGTTTCCTTTTGTTATACCAGCAGTCGGCCCGACTACAATGACAGATCCTAACCAACAAATGAACCGACTGTAAGTGAAGCGCTTTGAGTGATCAGCAAACGGATGATTAATCTTCATGTACACATCTGTCGATATAATCACCATCCACGAGAAAGCTGCCAAGAGACTGTAATGCAAACATGCGGCAATAAAACTGCATGCGATCTGTGAAGAAAAAAATGTAGCCCTGGACGATTTTTTGTATATTTACTGAAAGGTAATTTATCACATAGGCCTTTAACTATAGTTATATATTAATTAAAACGTTATGGTAATTGTTTTGTAATAATGATGATGATGATGATGATGATGATGATGATGATGATGATGATGATGATGATGGTGATGATGTTGATGATAATAATATATACGAATTAAGTACTATTGTGAACAACACTCATCATCATCATCCCCTATATCATTACCATCATCATCATCATCATCATCATCATCCTCATCATCATCATCATCATCATCATCATCATCATCAACATCGTCACCATCATCATCATCATCGTCTTCATCATCATCATTATTTATTTATTTCAGGTGATAAATCCAAAACCGCAAACAATAACATAAGAATATAACAATATCAACAACACGACATCAACAACAACATCAACACAAACAACAGCATTATTATCATTAGGCATATAAACAGTCGGAGCCATACATACTATCGTGCACAACATTTTTTTTTTTAAATGTTACTAAGAAATATAAAATGACGTACTCCCGACACTTGTAGTGTGCGGACCAAATAGAAGCTGTTGACACAAAGTAGAGCTATAACCAAGTTTCGCAAAAGTTTATACCTTTCCGAATTTCTTAAATCTCTGGAATACAAGTAACAAATTAACAGTCATTTTGGTTCCTCTCAACAATTTCATTGTTTTCTATCTAGGAAAAAGACTGATGTAGCCTGTGCTACGGTGACAACAGAAACACGATCGATCTGGAGAACCATTTGTCTGCCTTGAAGTAGGACCGATTAATAGACCTTTCCGCTAAGCCCCGCCCATTGGATATTGTTACTAAGGTCCCACAAAGCGACAGTGTTAAAACATACGCGAACACGTGCGTTTGTGGCACAGCACGTGGGTTTGTGAGACGCGCGCGTATTCCTAGCGCTGTTTTGATTGGTCAGTTGTTAAGTTTGATTGACACTCCGGAAAGGTCTATTGCAGAAGCATTCGCCAAAAGACTGATTAGATTTAATGTCTAATATCTCCCTAATGTTGCATTTACCTTAATTGCTAACAATCTATATGGTTGGATTTTGGCAATAATTTTGTATGCGGTAATGCTTTATACATAGGCCCTATTATACATAAATTTCAAACGGTAAAGAAGAGAAATCGGCGAGTGTGAAAACATTTTCCGAACCAAATGAATAAAGAAATTGTGTAATAAAATGCCTCTGACGAGATTCGAACCTGAGACCTCTCGCTGTCAAGGCGAGCGTCATAACCATTAGACCATAGAGGCTTAATTGTTGAACAGATTCACTATATATTATACACTCTATTACACAATAGGTACGGTAGAAACAAATAGTTGCATATAATATAAATCAAGATATATATATATATATATATATATATATATATATATATATATATATATTATATATATATATATATAATATTAATTAAT